GGTAAAGAATAAATTTCCATGTTGAAAGCATGACACCTCCTCTCAAGACATGCCAGAAAGACGATGCATAGTGTACAGGTATCTGATTTCAGAGCTGGGCACAGAGAAATCCCCACACCAAAGACTGTAAAAACGTCAACAGATAAGCGTAATTTTAACAGCCTAACCTGAAGCCCTAAAGCTGTAATTCAGTTTGACGAGATCCTTAGGCAGGCACCATTTCACATGAACAAAGGAAAACTTAGTGGTTTAAATCAGATCAAGGGCAGGGTACGTGTTTTGCATTATATTTAACTTCATTGCGGCAGGTATTTCAGTAACTCTGAAAGAGTCTACAGAATGAGTTATTCTGCTCTTCATTACACAAGAGAAAGGAACATCTTTTTTTCCTGTACAGAACTGGTTCTGGCCCTTCAGGCAACTGCATTTTCTTGTTTTACCCAAAAACTGTGGGGCAGACAATAATACAGTTTTTAATCTTCCTGCACATCTTGGAAACATTTTTTAAATGATTTTATGTCAATCCTCTTCTACTGAGAGCTTTCACATGGTTCACAGCTCATATAACCCTACAGTGTAAAGAGGATGAATTACAGAGAATTATCCTCCTGGTCATATTACAAGTGGTGAAAGGAACCTTTTCATTTTCTCAGATACAGTTATATTTCAGAGCACCGGCCTGGAAACAACTGTTCCCTTTTGGTCAGATTGTGCCTTTGGTCACACCACCACTTGAGTAACTAAGAGGAAGAGACATCTTTAAGGCATAATTTTCCCTGTTCCCCTTCACTTCAGAAGCAGTTTTTTTTTCATAAAACAGCATTGATGCCATCACATGGCACTTTCTCCTACTGTCTTTTTTGGCTGTAGGTTGACTCAGCCTGGCACTATAGTATGCTGCGTTTATACAGAGATCGGGCACAATGGGCGTCCATTTTTAGCTGCCCCTATTTTAACTTTATTAATAACTAAAATAAAAAGCAGCAATCTGTTATTTCCGTCCCCCTCTATCTCCCTCATGTATCAAAGTTAAGGGAGAGAGCTGGAGCTTCATTAGTTTTTCATTTGTTCTTCCTCTTTTCTCCAATCCATATTCTTGGCATGAAGGAGAGGAATAAAGATGTCAAACAGTTCCTCTCTTTCTTACACCTCAATCCGATTCAGGTAACTTACATGTGGGTATAACTGTGGACTTTACCGCTCTGTGGAAATGTGTACTGTAAAGCACAATCTAATCTTTGGTACCTTGTTCCATTTGCTGCGAAGAAACAGTCTCTCAATGTTACGACATTACTAAATATTGAGCCCAAGCAGTGGCCAAAGTAGCTTTGGCCAAAAGGCAAAGTAACACTCTGTGCAGAAGTACTTGGTAAGAAAGATTTCTGGAGAAGGTTGCACAGATGTCTCCATCCAATCTCTGGCCAGAAGGCAAGAATGGTCTTCATGCTCTTGTTTTCATGGAACGGAGAGGAGTATTGTAACAATACACACAGCCCTCTGCTTTTCCTTTGTTAAAAAAGATGTGTTACAGTATTTACCTTTGACAACTATTTATTGTTTTGTCCTGTTTTCCTGACCAACTGCAAACACAGATGTTTTAGTGAAAATGATGACACTGGCATATTACTGTCAACATTCTGGTTTCTTCAGTCAAGCAACGTGGAAAACATATCTTTGCTGAATTTCACACAATAATAAAAATAGTGACGAACTCAGCCTCCATGCTGCATAAACGTTTTTCGACAGTGTGCATTATTTCAAGAAGCTGTCCCAGAGGTTACATAAGCTTAGTAGTCTTATGTATTTCACCATGAACCTATATATCGTCATCGCGCACAAAGCCCCCAGCTGATTAGTAAGAAACAATAGATTATTGCACTAAGAGACACAGGATATTACCTAACTAATACAGGCTATTGCTAGTTTTTATAAAAGCAGTTATAGTATGAAGGGTGAAGAGACTAAGGAAGTAACAGAAAAGTGTTCTTCCAAGCTTTGAAAAATAACACTCTTTTTACAGTCATCCTTTACAAAGATCATTACGCTGACAATCTAAAGCTGTTCCACAACTGTTTGGTCCAATGTAATAAAATAAAGCCTCACAGTCTTCACTCCAAAAACACCAGACTACTGCTTCCGTCAATAAACAGTCTTAGACGCTCATCTCAGATCGATCTCTTCAAACTTTCTGTAGAACTGCTTGGGTTTTATAATAGTGTAGTCGAGTATATAATCTGGGCCTAGTTTGTGTGTTGTCAATGTACCCACTTAAACCAAGCACTTATGTTTTCATACTACAGCTTATCCCCTTGACTTGTCTTCCTCCCACAAAGAGAGGAGAATTTAAAATCCCTATCATTTTCTTTGTAAATCTTTTCTAGTTTCTTAGGAAAATGTCCTACTATATTTGCTCTACTGGCAGAAGATACAAACTTAGGCATTTGGTGCTCAATGTATTTCTAGGCATGCAGTTGTGCACAAACTACTGCCAGCTTATTTTGCATTTAGTACAGGACGAAAGCATAAACTACTCCAGACTGCTTGTATATAGCCAAAATAGGCACCCATCACTGTGTCTGTCCAGTAACTAACAAACCCAGAGACAATAAAGCCCAATGTGTGTTCAGAATTATGGTGATTTCCAACAATGGTATAAACCAATGCTAACGTTAGAAGTTAAGAAAATAGATTTCCTGGTCCCTTGATCAAAACGATTGTTCTCCACAAAAAAAAAAAAAAAAAAAAAAAACCCCAAAAAAAAAAACAGGCAAGGGAATCCCTGGAATGGAAACAGAAAATCTTCCATTCTGGAGTCTCAGGTGTACTACTTCATAAACATTTATAGTGGTCACAAGCACCTGTTTTACTATGGCTCAAGTATAATATTCAATTTGGACAATTTGAGATGGATTTAATATAGCAGCTCTTTGTGCATATAGCAGAAGGAAATGCAGCTCATCTGTCAAACGAATTGCCCTGCACTTTCTTGCAACATTGGCAGCAGGTGACGAACTGGCTCAGCCAATACACCTGTGTGCAACTGACCTTGGATATGAGAAGCAATGCTGTCATTTTCTGTCTGAAGAATTCAACTGCATAAGGATCTGTCTGCAAAATTAAACATTCCCAACGTATTTAAAGTGTATTATAAATCAATTTTTTTTCTGCTACAGAAGTTTTGAATCAGTAGTTATTTCTTGGAGATCAGAGTCTAGCTAAAAGCTGCTTAGATGCAAGAGACAGGATAACACCAGCTTGCTCACCTCCAGGTGATGTTCTTCAACTGTGCCAGAGTTCTGTTTGTGCAGCTGCTGTGCTGCCTTTAAACTAGGTGAAGAATGATGTCCTTTCATGACCGATTAAGTTTGTTGTTTTGCATCTCTGGGTCAAGTATATTTTTCTCTGGACTGATTTGGAGTAGAGAATACTGGGGTTCCTGCAGATTATCAGTAGAGTGCTCCCACATACCACCAAGAATGTTTGAGAAGTGATCCTTAATAAACAAGAGACCCTGACACACTCCCAAGTAGAGTTCTTGTCATAGTTCATGTCAATATTTCTTTGTCACCACATGCTGGATCAGCCTTGAGGAAAAGCACTAAGCAGAGCTGTTGCATAGTGAACAAGCTGCTTCCTGCCTCAGGGGAACACTGCAGTATCCTGAAGGTCCTACTGCCCTTCTTATAAAAGATGTTGTATACATTATGCCATTAACCAGGCAGTAGAGGTGATTCCTCTACTTTCCCTTCAGTTGATGAGTCTTTCCCATTCAAGTAATTCTTCTGAATTGCCAGGATCTGCCTCAAACCAACCTGCAAAGAGGATCTGCCTCAAATCAACCTGCAAAGCCCCTGTGAGTCACATTATATACGGGGGATTTTGATGGACCGATGCAAAATAGCAAACAGCAGAGACCAAGGTCTGACCCACAACTCTTAAAGAAAGTACCTAAACAACACTAAGAATTAGATTGATGGAGTCCACAAGCTTATTACACTTAGCTCTGCAGCAGTTTCTCTAATACTTTTAAAATCTTTTTCCGTAAAGCGGTTCTACTCCAGTGGTCTGGCACTTGTGAATATAAGGCTACAATAAGAAACTTCCTAGCACTGAACAACACAGAAAAAAAGGAAGCAGTTTCAGGCTCATGAGGGATTACAAAAGATAAATAAGGCAAAAATAACTCAAAGAACTCTGAAAAAATCTTGAGTTTCTTTATAACCAATAGCGCACAACTAATGAAATAAAAGATGCAAAGCTGAAGTCACCAAACATCAGTGTGTATCTGTTAAAAGTCGCCTTGCAGCCTAGGGTCTAAGGGATACTCCAAGCCACTCCTTGACAAGGGTAAGCAATGGGACAGTGCGAAGTGAAGTACTATGATGAACAGCTGCTGGAGGGCAGGAGAAACAGGTCCCAGCATTTAGGTTGCCTAGGAGCCCAAACTGACACCCCATGAACAGCTGAGTTTTTTCAGACTGCATTATCACTCTGGTTGTGTTTCAAAATTTCGTAATTCATTAAGATATTACAGAACAGACACAAAAATATCACATGATCTTCAATTTTCAGGTATATAAAGCTATTCATGAACAAATTGCTCTACACTTACTCCAAATTTACCTAAGTTTTTATTATTCACCATGGAAATATTTCCAGTGGCTAGTTCTTCCCATCTATAGCTGTTGGTCAAGGTGACACAGGAAGTGTTGAAACAGCAGATTTTGTCACAATACTAATATTAAGACCAAAGTTAATAATTCTGCAAGTTAACTTTACGACCAATTAATCGTACAATGTGATGAGTGCTGGAGGCACTCTATTCCACATGCATATCACCTGCACAAAAGCACACTTCAGCAAGATAGCTTTGGGGGTGAAATATAAAGCAATAAAATGCTAAGCTAAAGGAAACTCTCTTTTGAACTACCAGGAATTCAGGCTACAAAATAAAACATTTTGCATTTAGCAAGTGTTACACAATGCAGTGTCACTCTTACCTCCATGGGAAAGGCCTTAAAATTAACCGTGTGTTCAGAACCACGCTGGTTTTCTCTCCCCCAGTGAAATCGAACATCGTGTAGTTCAAACTCATGTCCTCGAGGCAATGGCCCCCCTATTAACACTGGGAAAGCAGACAAATGGTAAGGAAGTTGGCTTTCCAAGCAGACAAGCCACTGAATATAATCTCCAAATACAACGGCGAGGTGGTTGCAAGCTTCTTTATTATCAGTGGTACCAAAAAGGAGAAGAGTAAAGTTGGCAGACTTGACATGTTTACTTCTGAAGTACTGCACGCGAATTTAGACAGTTACAATCAATGAAATTGCTGTCATGCTGCACTCTTTGTTTTATGAGGTAGAACAGCTGGTCATAACACAAAATAAAAACACTCTACCTTTATCACTCAGAAGAGTGAATACGTTTATTGCTCTAATAAAGACAGCAGCTGTGTGCTCTAAACAGATGGCGAGGGTTCTGAATTGAACTGATAACTACCTCCATCTTGTCCAAATGCTTCATCTCCATCACCTATATTTGCTACGAGTCACAGAAACTGATAGAAAATTTTTGATCACCAATATTTTGCTAGGTGAAGTTGTTCAGCCATATACCACCTGTCAGGCTTCCAAGACACAGAATGCCTCCATGTCCAAACATAATCAAACCTACACACAGGAGCAACAACACACCTCATTTAGTTAAAAACAGCTTCTAGGAAGCCATGGTATTTTTCACCTCGTTCTCTTAAACATCCACAATTTCACAAAAACATCTACCCACAAGTGCAACACATGCAAAAAAATTACATAATAGCTCAATACCTTTACTACCATAAGTAGTAAAAATAAGCAATTGTACCTTGTGAGGCTCAATCTGCTTTGGAATTAATCAATAGGAACATTTCACCCAGGGATGTGTGAATCTGCTCCACATCAAATATTACTCCACAGGCTGTAGGTAACTTCCCACTGAAATCACTGAATATTGGCTTCTAGGCAGGGCTGGATTATACTTAAGGGCATTCACTGTCTTCCCCAGAATCCATTAAATTCTAGCTTAAATTTCAGAGACTTTGAATGAATCTTTTACAATCTCTGATAATTGACAAGGATCATTTAATTGCATAACCTACAGCTTTAGGGAATTAAAGTTCCATAATACAACATTATTTTGACACGTAAATTAAATGGCCTTATTTTGGAGCATAAGACATAGTGTAATACTAAAACATAATGTAGCAATTGAATCATATGGCAACTGTACAAACACAAGAACAAAAGTACTAACTATAAAAAACTGAAAGAAAAGTTATCAGTTATGGTTTTCATAAGCAATTACATGGGACAAAAAAGTAAAATATTCCAATTAATCCTCCTTTAATAATTCTTCATAACTAATCTAACAGCCATTAGGGTTTCTGAAATGAAATGTCCCAAATGTAGTTACAGATTCACATTTGCTTCTTAAACTTCCTTTGTTAATCTTCTTTCTATACCTATATCCTACAGGGAAGATCTACAAATCAGGTTAACACTGGGGGAAACAACCAACCGAAGTATTTTGGGAAATCTGGATAAATAGTGCTATCAGTGCTATTTCTTAGGAAAACGGAGCATTTTCTCTGTTTTAAAATATTGCTCCTGGAGAAAGTGTAACTAGAACAAATGTTCTCTGTATGATGTAGTTCTGGATCTGCAGGAGCTTCAAAGAGTTTATTTCTGAGGCTTAAGTTATTGATCCCATGATAAAAGCACTGCAACGCATGAAGCATGTTTATCTTTCCTTTGCCTTTCATCAAATCTTGATCCTTGTCAATGCATGAAACATGTTTAACTTCGCTTTGCCTTTCAGCAATTTCTGATTCTCATTAGGAAATTATTCTGAAACTACCATCCACTGTGCAATCCACTACTGGCTGAAGAGAAGTCTCTCTGTTAGTAGCGTATCCTCCAAAGCATTTTTCAAGATACAATTCCCTTACACAGTTGGTCACGCTTCTTCCACTTTACGCATAACACATGTACGATGATCAAACTGGAAGCAGCCTGTGAAAATGTTTGCAATTAAATAATAAGAAGGATTTGGGAATTCCAGATGGATTGTGTGTCCTGAGTTAAAGGACAAAATCAATCACAAGTAATGACAAATTGATTTCTAATATCTATCTTAATCAGTTTACTTTTTTCCACAAAGAAGTTTTTCTTTGGCTGTTAACATTACAGTAGATGAGGATCTCTTGCACATTAATCGGACAGAGTTTCACAAGCATTTAGTGCTCAACACTTCCCATTAAAATAATCTGGTTAAATGGATTTGTCATCAGAGATCCCCTGTGAGAAAAGCAAGCTGCAGGAGTTTCCACAATCCCTGAAAACTGGCCAGAATACTAGGCCAAACACAGCTTATTAACTCTTTTCTCCTCTTGGGAGTGATAACAAACGTTGTCTTCCCCCTCCCAAACGTGGAAAAATTATCCCCAGTTTAAAATGGAGAATGGGAAATTATGTAACATGAAATATAAGGAAAAGCTGAAACTAAAACAAGATTTCCTAAATTATAATTCCATCCCTCCGTCATTAACTTTTATTCTATTTCACATTTTCTCATATTTCAAGACTCATGAGTCTGACATCCCACTGCATTCAAGTTTAAAAAGAAGTCTTTCCTTCTCACAAGTCTCCAACAGTTTTGCATACGCATTTAGGTGTGTTTGGACCATCTTACTAGTTGTTGCTACTAAGTTACAAACTAGCCTTGGGAAAGGCAGGGTTGAAGGAGCTGCGTTTTGGCATGCAAGCGATGACATTGTTTGAGGTCACTCCCACTTCATGCACAGGAGAATTCAAGAACCTTCCTCCTTGGGAAAAGAGCTTTGTCTCTGATGAGGGCAGTAAAACCGACTGGAAGTATAAAATTTCTGTTCTATTGCATATCTGCAAAATTATGTGGAAATAAATGTTCTGTGTCACAATAATACATGGAATTTATCAAGAAAAAGAAATTATAAAGGAAAGCATCATTATTAAAATAACAAACCCTTCCTTTTTAAAAATTTCAGAGCAAAACTGAACTGACTCCCTCACTCCCAGCACAACTGTAGCTCCCAGGACTACTGGGATCTCAGAAGGAAACACAAGTTAGAACGTCTCATGGTCTGACAATGTTCAGCTGTTTAAATGCCCCCAAAAGGCTGTTACCAGCTAAGATTGGTTAGGATAACTTGGATGCTCTTCCAGACACATGGTAAGAACTACCACAGTGCTGGAAGGCACAAAGGATGTTTTTTCTTCCTACTTTCTCAACAGTTGTCTCCTTCATACAGAATAGTTTATCCAGGTGAAAGGTCTGAACGAGATACTGTGATTTCACTTAAGTTGTAATTGTTTCTTTTATTATTTGCTTCTAATTCTTATTTGATGAATGACACCAAAAAAACCCTTTAGGAAATGAGGAGTGCTTTGCTATATGCTCTTCATCACTATTGTACGCAGTTATAACTGGAATACCCACCTTAAGCTGCCCAGTTCCACAGTTAGTATTCAGAACCCACTCAAATTAATGGAAAAAGCTCTTTTAACTTACATGGTCTTTGGACCAAGGACAATTTTTGACAGCTGTACGAAACAGTTAGGCATCACACTGTCTTAAGCGATAGTCTGGACCGCTCCTGAACGCGTACAACTGTTAACGGCAGCGAATTAGACGACACCAGCACAAGAGGAAATTCTGGACACGCTCCGAGGCAACCTGACTGACCACCCAGTTTGGCGCTGGAGCTCGCAGCCCTCATCGCAAAGCTCCGTTCTTTTCCCACTCGAAGCCGACAGCACTGCTCCGGCCGTGGCCGAACGGGCTTAGCGCTGGCAGCCGGGAGCAGCTCCCGGGACAGGCTGGCGCGGGGGAGGGGCAGGGCGCGGTTCGGG